GACTACGTGAGCTGAGCGTTCCTGATTCCATGGTCTGCATCATGCGATTAGGGAATTGGGCGCTTTTTGAGAGTTGTTTCTGCGCCGCACTGTAACGGTGGGCTTCTGCCTGCTCCTCCCCCCCTCTGATAACTTCCTCTACTCACACCTCGGTGGGGTGATGCAGTGCGCCGCCGGCTGGAGTTTTGGTAAGACGGTCATTTAGCTCCTCTGTTGCACTCGGGCTGGTCATGGCCCGACACTGGGTGGGCACAGTCTGCAGGTTTCCAGGACCCACGTGACCAGTAGCGATACTGGTGCCCGGGTGCAATAACAAGCAACGAAAAATGTCATGAGAAAATTACAAATTATTGGGATATCCGTATGTTGAAAAAGAGAATATGACGAGCGGATCACTAGCGGACACGCATAAAGTAGTTTGTGGCTCTTTGCCAATATATATTTACCCGGAATATAAAAAAACGGAATCCTATATCGTCACGACATGGAGGAACGATAACAGAGTGACTTGACTGATAACTGAAGAGATGGCAAATTGAGGAGCTATACGATAGAGAACAATGAAACCTCCAAATACCAGGGCGCACAAACACAAAGAGAGCGGCTTGTAACCAGAGCCGTGGTCTTCGAGGGCAATTAGAAGTCATTCTTCCGAACCCACCACCAGATTCACTGGATCGGGTACGAAGGATGATTGTTCCTGCGCCTCAACACAAAATAATAGTTAATGAATGAATGAGATTTCACGATCAATTGTTTCGCACGCATCGTGTGCTAATTCGCTCTAGTCCGACGAGCTAGGCAAACGAGCTCACGCCATTCGGAGAAGATTGGTGGAGACTGCGGTGGATCCCGGTTAATCGGATGCAAGCTCCATCTTTGGGTATAAGGCCGTTGCTTTTATAATAGCTTAAGCCTCCGGAAAACCGTTAAACTGCTAACAGGTCGGGACTAATATTAGCCAATTCCGACACAAACAATTGCTCTGCCCATCCCCTCTAGTCCGGTACTGAACTCGTGCATACTAGCAAGGGGAACGGACCATTCATGTTTTATCCGTTGACCCGAACAGACTGAGAACAGCAGATGGTGGATCACGGGTTGGCCGGCTGATAGCGAGCTGGAATTGCAAATGTATCGTGTATGTAAAAGGCCCTATTGCGTTTGTGCGGGCGCGGTCCAGCGGAGGTATGATAACCTAGCGCGGAACGAACCCGCAATGTAATTTTGAGTTGACAGTTCGAAGAAGGGTGATGCCTATCACTTCTCTTCCCGCTCGGAGTCCCGTGCTGTGGGTGTTGGGATGTGTTGGAGCATGCATAGCGACGCAGTTGTATCCGGGGCTGATATAACGGTAACTTTTATGAGCATGGATCCTCATATCCCATGAAGGTGTGGGAAAGCAGATTTAAAATAAAAACGGGTGGTTAAACCCACCAATGCGATACTTGTAAGCGTGCTCTGCTTCCGAGCTTGGAGCGGGTATGCACTGCGATTATTACTCGAGTACAAGTACCAGTGTTGTTGGTGGGAATTGTCGTTTGGTGGGTGGGTGGGATAACTTGAGTATGGTGCCCACACAATGTTCGGGAAATCCATTGTTGAGATGACTCGATCCAATCGGATACAGCGTCTACTTGGAAAAAACTTCAGGTAGCTACAGTTTCACAAAGGAGGAGCAAACCCCGGGGGATTAACCGTCTACTGCAACGCCTCCGGAGGAAACAACCACTTCCGATCACTTTGACGTAACAGTAAACTTTCTCAGAAGAATGCAAAAAAAAAAACAAACCTTGAATTCTACAGAGAATGAGAGGGGACAGGGAGGAGCCTTTTGTACGAGGCTGGCGACAAAAATCACCGGTAGATATCTCATATCGCAACCACGAGAATGTCACTCCTCCTCAGGCAAAAATGACCACTACTCCACCACAAAATGATCCTTGGGGTGAATGGCATACCCCTATGCAAACCAGAGTTCTCACATTACTGGACACTGGATTGTCCCAGCCTGAAATTTCCTGAGAGACTGGAGTTCCACAACAAACCATAAGTGATTGGAAGAAGTCTATGCAGCCCCATTGTCAACACCACTGTCCTGGGCGCCCCCAGTGCCTTTCTGATCATAATATCCGATGCCTAATCTTTTGTCTCCGAACTGGCTGGGAGGGGCGATGGCTCTGCTGGCACAAGTTAGAACAAGAAGTAGGATTAAGTGCCTCCATAACCACCATTAAGCAAGCTTTATAAAGAGAGGGTTACTCTTGCCGCAAGGCTTGTAAAAAGCCTTTCATCAATTGGAAGATCCAGCAGAAGCATAAAGCTTATGCTGATGATTATATGGATAAGCCAATTGAGTGGTGGTGAAAGCATATGTTTTTGGATGAGTGCATTTTTAACACCTCCCAGAGAGGAAGCATTTGGGTAACTCGACTTTCAACTGAGCGCTATCATGACCATTGCATGCAGTACAGTTTCCATAGTGAGCGAGCATCCTTTATGGTATGGGGGGCGATCAGTTATAATTGGAAGTCTCTTCTCGTCTTCCTCCAAGGTACAGGTTTATCGGGAGTAATTGCTCAAGACTATTTGGATCAGGTCCTTGAACCTGTTGTTGCTCCAGCTTTTATGAACCTCCTTGAGTACAATACTTCACCAGAGGCTCAGTATATCGAAGACCAAGTCCCGATTCATAGAACAGGTTGGATATTGAGAGAGACCAAAAATATGCTAGGTATTCTGCTTCTCGATCGACCACCTTTTTCACCTGACTTCAGTCTCATTGAGAATGTATGGTGAATCCTCAAGCAAAGCATCAAAGCACAGGATACCTTTCCTCAAAACATCCATGATTTGAGAAAGGTGGTTCAGGAAGAGTGGGATAGTCTACAGCCATCCGCTTAGAACCAGTATATAGATAGTATGCCTGTAAGGCTCATGCAAGTCAAGGAACAGAAAGGGATGCAAACACAGTTTTAATGCATTTTCGTTATTCTTATTCATCTTCTCTACTATGCTTGATTTTTCTTAATTTTCCTACTACTTTGCTTGTTGAGCTATTGTTGTTCCTTTGAAATAGTTTATCATTCATTCACGAAATTGTTGGTTGCTACCGGTGATTTTTGTCGCCAGCCTCGTACATGATGGTCAATTTATACCCCTCTAGCTCTCTATGCTATCACTACGCAGACCTACCTCTTAATCGAAAGCCGTTAAAAGTACAAACAGAACATGACGAACAACACCCTCACGACTACATGTATCATACCTAATACCACCTATGTACCCTCCTCACACAAAGCCTCTGGGAATTAACCCCCCATACCACACCACAAACATCGTAGTCACAAATTCTCACTCGCAGGAGAACCCGTTCCCGCTGTAGAAGAATCTATCTATCTATTATGTACTTTGCAGTTTATCTCAAAATAAGATCTAATCTGTGAAGAATGTCCGGATTTTTGGTGATATTATAATCTACACAACTTCAAAGCTCACTTTTGAAGTACTACCCACCTAACATGATGAGCTAAGTGACAACTGCAGCGTTATTAACTTTAACACCACTTTTAATACTGACCATATACAACTCGAGCGTAGATCGAGGAGATACTAGTATAGTGGTACTATAGGATAGCAGAAGACAAAAGCCACGATTCTATATTCCAGCGAGCACTGGGGGCTACGATAATACACCACACCACCGATGATAAATCCAGTGCCGGTCAGACCACATATCTAATCGAGCGTGCCGGTGAAGACCTTCACCTCGGTTCAATATTGAGTGAGTGAGGGTTTGCTCCGTTGTTTGATTCTCATTGTCTCTATACTTTCTTCCTCTGCGACCAGTTCGGGTTCAAAGTAAGTTGGTCGGACAATTTAATAGTCCTGTCCGACATCGTGTTCACGATTGAGTGAGTGAGTGAGTGAGTGGGCGAGTCGACTGAACCATCCCGCCGCTGTGTGGTGCGACCTGCATTGTTTCGCGACTGAGAGCTTTATCCCTCCCTTCGGCCCGCGTACACCGCTGAGGAGCAGTTCTTATTATTCTTCTTCTTCCAAGAGAATACTCGGGAGATATCACTAGTAGGGTGTTCATCCATCCATCCATCAATCCGGGAGGATCGGGGGTGGACTCATGAAGGTTCGTTTTCTTCCAGTATTCATATTCAGTCATTTCGTGCATTCGGACAGGGTGCTTGCCGGTCGCGAGAGGGTCTTGTGTAAGTGGGTATCATAGTTATCATAGGTATGATAGGTATGGGCGTTGGGGGGTAAAGTTAGACCATGTCTGTCAACAGCTTGTTCTTGACATTACCCCTCCACCACCACTCGCAAACTTTTCTAGGTTCGATCCATCATACGTCTTTGGATTTAGCCCCCGGACGGGTAGCCGTTAGAGTATCTATCATATTATTGTAATGGGTAAGAAACCATCCAAGTAGTAAAGGGATAATATTATAATATCGTAGCATATAATATTATCATACCACGATGAGAGGTAGATTAACTATAATACAGTATGTGCCGTACGAGTAAGTAAGCACGGCCATTAAGGTCCCCCCACAGAGCGTCAGAGTGCATATACGTGTTTACCCAATACTCGCTCTCGCACTATGCTATGCTATCCCCAAGCTCGTAATCGCACATCCCACTCCCCAACACCCCTCCTAGAAAATGCGGTTTTTGCTCAATCTTACACCATTATTACCCCCCCCCCCAACAGCTACAGCTACAGCTACAGCTACAACTACAACTACAACTACACCCCTCCACCCACTAACCACATCAAACCAAGCCAAAAAAAAAAAAAAAAAAAGAAGGAAAAACCCAGAAAAGACCCCTAACCCGACCCAAGCCGTACCGTACCGCACGAACACACTCAATTCTCACAAGTAAAATATAAAAAGACGAAAAAGGGAACCAAGCTATTCACACCGAAGAGTATCAAGGAGGAAAATGAGAAGGGAAAAAAGAAATGAATAGTCCGCTATGATACACCGCACATGCGCCAAATCCCAATGAATTGCTTTCGTTGGGGTGAAAAATAGGTAAGGTAAGATAATGCAGTACTGAAAGGGATGGAAATATGAAAGAAAAAAGGAAAGAGTGGGGGAGAGAGGAACGGGAACAGATGTAGAGATGATGATAATAGTGTTGATAACGATAAGAGATGAAAGGGAGGGGAAAAGTATTGCCTAATATAGATGGGGAGGTGGGAGTGGTATGATGGATGGATAATTAGGGAGGTAAGGGTAGCGGTATAGATATCTAGTAGGTAATAGATATGATAATTATATGGGTAGGAGTAGTAAGAAGTGATACGGGGAAAAGAAAGTGGGATCAAGAAAAAAAAGTAAGAAAAAAAAACATCAAGTCTTCTTCCTCCTTTTCCCTCTCTTCTCTTGACAATCCGGGCAGAACCACTCCAAGTCACTGTCCTTTGCTTCCCGCTCGGTGAGCTTAACACAGTCGATATGGAACCACTTCTTGGAACACTAGATGAAACGCGCAAGAATTAGCAACCCATCATTCCCACCCATATATACAAACCAGTAGTGGAGAGCAAACCTGCTCATTATCGCACTGAACCATAAATCCATGCGAGACCTCATCACAAAGGCAATAAGTTTTCAAATCTTCATCCTCCTCATCGACCCACTCCCCGGTCCCATCCGTATCCTGAACATCCACGCGTTTGCGGTTGTTGTTACCTGCAACGAGGCCCTTCTTCTTGCCAACGCTCGGTTTCATCGGTTTGTTTGGTTTGGGCCCAGCGACGTTCGAGCGCTTGCGGCCAACAGCGAGTGACACAGTTCCGGTCGGGGGTGCGGCGACCGATGTCCCGCGTTTCGCGCGGGATTCGGCGAGAGAAGGAGTCGGTAGAATGGTCGTCACTGTCGATGGGGCACGCTTGCGTTTTTCGCCGGAACTAGGCGGGGAATCAGAGCTGGAGGGCTTTAGAGGTTTGGGGTTTTTCGGAGGTCGGCCAAGACGGGGTTTTGGTGGGGGTGGGGGCGGAACGGGGATTGGAGGCGATACTGGGCGCTCTTCTGAGACCGCGTCAGGCATTTCAGAATCTTCGTCTTCTCTGCTGGTAGGCGATTCTGAAGGGGTAGAGGATGAAGCCGCACTGCTGATTGAGGATGATCGAGTTATGGGTTGGGGTACTCGTGCTTCGGCGGCAGCAGCTTCTTCTTGCTCCCTGAGAGCAGCACTTGCTTTAGCCTTTTCTTCCATAGCAGCTTCTTCCTTTTCCCTCCTCTCCTTCTCAAGAGCTGCGGCTGCAGCGGTGGCCGCTTCCTCTTCAGCTTTTGCCCTTTCCCTTTCACGATTTGCAAGCTCTACACGTTCCTTTTCCTCTTGAGCTTCCCTCTTTATTTTGGCCTCTTCATATTCTAGCTTTAAGCGGAGCTTCTCCTCTTCCTCAATTTTTGCCTCCAGTTTCTCGCGCTCCAGTTCTTTCGCTTTCTCCTTTTTCTCCTCCTCCCGCTTCCGTTTTTTGGCACGGTTGAGTTTCATGCCCTTGTTCTCACGAACGCCTGCTCCATCATCTGGCGCAATCTTCTCTGGGTCACCAATCCCGCCATCTTCCGGTCCGTATATTTTAAGAAACTCATCGCCCCTACTACCTCCCCACTGATCTTCATACTTCTCCTTATGCTTAGGCCCTCGACCCAACGTTTCAAGCTCTCGAATTATCATAGTAACAGATGGTGTCCAGCCAGAATTTTTCTTCATTCGTTTCCGCAACCTTGCCAACTCTTCATTTGTAAGCCTGTTCCATGGAAGCAAACTATTAGGTATCAAAGACCCATCTTCGTTTGTTGCCCTAGCCCCACCAACAAATGGAGACTCGCTATTGTTTTTTGGCCCACGTCTGGACATTCCACCAAGCAATTTCTTTTTCTTCTTTATTTTTTCGTAGTTATATGGAGTCGATGGTATATCTTCCCACTCATTATCGTCAGCATCATCGTCCCTATTGTTTCTCTCCCGCTGTTTGTAGCGTGAGCGAGACGTTTGCGCAATCGAAGCGGAACCACGAAGACGGGGGTGACGACCTGTAGGAGTTGACTTTTGGGAGGAAATGCGGATCTTTATTTTCCGAACATCGGTCTGTTGCCCTTCGGCCGGCTTATTTTCAGGTTCGTCCGGTGGTATTGTAACCTTGCAGAGACCGCCATAGATGGCGACGATACGAGCATGATGACGGTTGATCTAGGCCCAGTCAGCAAAATAACGCAGGTGGTGGTAGGATATATTGTTTTCTCTGTACATTCTGCGAAGCTCTCTCAGCTTCGGCCTTCGCTTCTCGATGAGCGAACTGGGCGCCCTTGATCGCATTGGATATTCTGATCCTTAACTCGGTTTCCCTCTCACTCATTGCAGGGCAAACATAATCCGTAATCGGAACATGGAGGCTGGGAGGCAAGACGCGGCTCTGTTCAGGTAGGCTTGCAAATTCCTTGCAAAGTAGATCGACGTTCCTGCTGTGATCGGCGGCCTTCTTCTTAAGTTGACGAACAAGTTGTAGCGAGCGATACATATCCGCTGGGAGGAATTCGGTAACTGCGGTAATCTCATGTCAGTAGAGTAGTCATCAAAAGTGGTGGGTATTTGCGGTTGGGAAAGGCTAACAGTCAATGAACTCGCGAGTAATGTTCACGGCGTCTAGATCCACTAGGGACTTAGGCGACGCGACCGCTTCCTCCATAGTTGTGACTGAAAAACAAAATGGCGGAAGATGAAAATATTACTAGACCAGAAGCTTCGGTTGTAGAAGTAATGCTGGTAGTGCGGGGGGGGGGTTGTGGGGTGGTGTAAGGAGGGGGAGGTGTGTGTGCGAGTTGGAAAGGTTGGCGAAGTGTGGAGGTGGTTGTTGTTGTTGAGTTCGATGTGGCGTAAGCGGGTACCTACCGAACACACACAATGACACCTGACAGCAACCCTTTCCTCTCATATCGGTATGATACTGGTATCATATGATGACACTTGTTTTGGAAGAGATCTCGACAAGGTTGTCATCGGTCAGCCACGGGAACGGGGTGGGGTTGCGTGCTTCTGTCGGTCCATGCAAGATTCCCCTTTCCCTGTATAATACAGCATGATACCTGTTCTGAGAAGTAGAGACGATTAGAAGAGTACTCGTACGCTACGGTACCTTATTCAAATTTCTTCAACCATGATAACTTACCTTTGGAAGGTACCTGTACCGGTATACATTCTACAGGTCAGCGTTCGCAGGGTACCGTGTTGTTTACATCCTTCACTCCTAAACAATTCCTGAGTTCTCCCGGCGAGTCACCTCTCAATCGAGATAGAGGACGAAGCGGTCGATAAGAAGGGGAGGGAACTGAAAAAGTAAAAGATAAAAAAATAATTTAATGAGCAAGTACTCCCAGTTTCCTCTACAGTAGTAAAGGAGAGGGTACGGCTCGCTCCCGTAAAATGGCTTGAGTGATCTGACAACGCCTCACTCCCTAAAAAATCATCATCTAACTACAACTCGAGTAAAAGGCCTTTCCTCACCATGCCATTCTAACCGCAATAGAAAATACCCTGCCAGTGCGATATCGGCAGACTGCCGGTGTCAAAACCATATCTCGCCAACTCAGGGTCCAAGCTGAGGCATCTTTCTCTTGTCACCCCCACAATCACTCCTACAACACAATCTTCTTCTAGCGTCCGATTGAGAGCTCTGTTCGATATGACTTGTAAAACACCTTGAGTATCTACATCAAACCTCACCCATTATTAGCTGACCATACAAAAAGTTCTATACCTATGATATCACTCTACTGGTTATAGTGTCGGGAGGTTTATTTGTTGTTCTCGAAGCATGTCAGTTGGCTCGACCCTTCTACGACGAGGAGTTTGCCTTCATTTTTTGCGGTCGTGCGGTAAATCACGGGGCACATATTTCTCCACACAGAGCCGCCCTCAAGAACCAGTGCCACGACAGCTGCGACCACTTATACCACACCAAGCCTTGCGTCCAACACCACAACCACGACCACTAACAGCTCATTGGGGTTTTAGTCATTCGACTGGCGCCTTAAAGCCTGATAAACACAAGCGTCCATCAAGCCTAAAGCTTCACAAGCCAAAGCCTAGACCCATCCTTCCCAAGGCCGCTAAAACTAAAATCAAGATGAATAGCTTTGTGGAATACAAAACCTTGAAAAGCTTTCCTTACAAATTTCTCACCAAAGCTGATCAACATGTTGTCAGCCGTTTCTTTGATTCTAATCCCTTTCATGCCTATGGCTGGAGAATGTTTGTTACATCACCATTTATCTTTCCCTATTCGGATAGAGAATCGTCGTCTAACGTTAGGCTCCTAGATACATCTACGAAACTGCTGTCAGCGAAACTATTTTGATCCCTTGGGATCAGATAGATCGGTTCTTTAAAGAGATTGCAGCTGAAACCGGCATACACCTCTTCCAGAATTTCCCCGCCAAGAAGATTTCTTACAAATTAGACTCCAACGAAGATGCTCCTGCCCTTATGGGTGATTTCAAGAGTAAGGAAGAATTGGACGAACTTTTGCAACAATTCGGTACCTCGTCGGGAAAGGGACCTATCAAGAAGAATAGCACGCCCAAGTCCAGACGAAATGCCGCGAGGAGGCTTCAGGCAATGGAGACTTGGAAGTCTCAGGTCAGTTCCGCAAGGAATCATCTCAAATACGATCAACAGGATCTTGAAAACGGGGTCAAAATAGCCTTTCCCGTATTTGTGAGCATTGACGTTGAGGCCTTCGAACACAATCACAACATAATAACTGAGATTGGCATCTCCACTCTTGACACGGCGGAACTTCCTCCCACTCAAGAGAATGCCATGACCCGCGAAACAGTCTTGAAAGCTATTCAGGATAGCTTCGGTCTATCCAATGCTCCCCTCCGCAGGAGTGACGCTGTAATCGATCTTATTAAGAGCTACCACTTCCGTGTTAGCGAGAACAGGAACATGCGTAATGGGCAGTTTGTCACGGACGCTGCGGATTATTTCATGTTTGGGGATTCTGAGTTTGTTTCGTTGACAGAACTGCCTAAGAGAATCGGCGAGTGCTTTCGCCACTTTGATAGCCATGGTGAAAAAAGGGGGATTGTACTTGTTGGGCACGATGTTAAGACCGACGTTGATTTTTTGATGGCGGTTGGCTACAATGTTGGTAACATTTCTGGTTTGGAGGTAATCGATACCACTTGCATGTGGAAGGCAGTTATGGGTGATTTCCAGAGCAAAGGCTTGGGGTCAATGTTGCATGATCTCAGTATTGATTTCAGGCATTTGCACAATGCTGGTGAGTATTCTTCTTCTCCCCTCATATATCTACTTCAACCCGTGGCAGACAGTTAACAATTCACAAATAAACAGGAAACGATGCAGCATATACTCTCCAAGCTCTTGTCAAAATGGCAGAAATCGGGCTTCCAATCGAAGGGGGGAACGGCGACAACGTAAAACCCGCACCAAACCTCTACCGCCCAATCTGGCAGAAAGCCGAGAATATTCAGATTGGATTCGCTGATGAGGACGACAATAGACCAGCAAATATCTTGCCGCCTAAGAAACCGATAGCTAAATATGTCGCAGAAGCAGGTAGTAGCAGCGAGGGAAGTGGGTCTGAGCATGAGCGGCGATGGTTGGGATTGACTGCAAGGCAGTTTCCTGAAACTTTGTTTTGTTGCGATTTCCACCTATTTTTCTTCTCTCTTTCCAAATTCTCCCATTATCATTTAAGCTGAAGTAGTTGCCTGTTTTTGTTTTACAACCGTCTCATTCTATCATGTATCTTTTTTTTCTTTCTTTTTTTTTTCCCTTCTTCCTTTCTTACTCCAACTCCACTCTCTTACCTTCCTCACCGAGTTGCACCTACAGGAAAGGGATAGTAATAATAAAAAGCCAAAGTTGGTGCAATAAACTTGGAGCCAACGGGCAAAATTTGACTCTCTATACTCCACCCTTCCAACTCCCTCACAGCGACAACTCGTGGCAATGTGCAGTAGGTGAATAGGTATTTCGGTAAAAGCTTCTGCAATATCTTGATTGACAGATAGCTCAGTTTGACACGGTACATCGTTGACAATAAGAAAGTAGGTATGAAGCGGTAGTCCAGCTATTTATGAGCATTACTTTTCGGAACACCCCCCCACCCCAAACCGCTAATAAACGAAGATCAAAAGAACGGCACCCAAGAAGAATAAAGGGATAACAGGAACAAAAGGAGGGAATAGCAGCCAACCAGCCAGTCGGAACAAGGACTCTGTATGGAAAAAAGTATAAAATAAAAAAACACAAAGAAGCATTTGAGAGTCATAAAGAAATCCTGGTCCCATCAACAACTCGTTATCCGCGCTTCGAGTGACATGCCATGATCGGCCACGATGCCCCTTGAGCTAGCTGGTACCGTATGATACTGTACTGTACTGTGCGTGCATGTTATCATAAAATACCGGTAGGAATATTGATATATAGGGTAATAAGATGAAGCGGCAAAAACCACTCACCGCATTCATAACCGCATTATACCGTCTTATGTACTCGTACTGTACAGTAGCTCTAGCATCGCTTAAGTAGGTGAATAAACAAATAGTCTAAATACTTTTTGCGTACCCATCCGTCCCATCCATACATTCATCTACCCATCAGTCGGTATATATCATACTGGTAAAAAAAAAAAAAAGTATTAGGCCCTGTTCGGCATGTACCAATAAAAATATATCGCAATAAAAGTTGAAAATGGCATATATGCTAATAAAAAAATTCAGTGTTGAAAAATATATAGGTGTTTGGCAACAATTTACAACTATTGGGAGCCCTGAAAAAGTTGTCATAAAATAAACATTAGGGCAAATGCAAATACAAATGCAAAAAATTGAAAGTTTACTTCCTAGATGTTCTAGTCAACAATACTACATATCAAACCACACATCCAACTACACATCAAACCACATCTCTCATTCCACTTCAATTCATTCACCTCTTTATCCTGCTGCTAGCAGCTCCCTATTGTGTTAATTCAGCCCTTTTCCAGTGGTAAGTCATTTATTCCCATGCCATTACTCTGCAATACTTGACTTTATATCAGCTAACAGATGATCTTAGGAGAAATAGACTGTACAAAAATAGGAAACAGTGTTTGGGTTGAAAATAGTGAAAGGTTCTTGGTTGATGTACTTCTGAGACATGTTGACAATGGTGCACGTGGAGAAAATGGGTTCAAGAAGTCTGTTTGGCTCAGTGTTGTTTCAGAACTCAATGCAACCTATAAGGATGTTAGTACTAAACCTTTCACAGTTGCTCAAGCTAAAAGAAAGGAAGTTAGAGCAAGTAAATATCACTTCTACTCAGTGTGTTGAATTTTATTATAGAGAATATATAAGTTGATAACAATATAGCTTAAGAAAGAGTTTGATATTGTTCATATGATCTACCAAAATTCTGGTTTTGTATGGGATGATGCCAGAGGTTTGCCAACTGCATCAGCTGAAGTGTGGAGAGTTTATCTTAATATAAGTTCTTCCCTTTATATTTGCATGCTAGTCTTATAAACTAATTGTACTAAATTATTTGACAGCGTCACAAAGAAACTACAAAGTACAGATATAAAGGCTTTCCTTTATATGACCAGCTAGCTAGCTTGTTCCTTGAAGTCAGAGCTACTGACATATTTGCTCGTACTATCGGAATCAGAGTCTGAGCAGTTCTCATCTGAGTTAAAGATAGTGACATCATGGTTACTCTGAGTCTGAATGTTTTTTTTTTCAATTAGTGTTCGTTCACAATCAAAAGTGGTTAATAGTTAAATGATGTTGATAGGAAAGCTGTATAAACTATCAGCTCTTTGCTACAAATAATGTAATATTACTTTTCATATTATTTATCATAACATGTATCATATTTCATGATTCAGACCTAGCCCTACAGGAAATATATACAATAAAAATTTATACAAGCAATAAAAATATATTATCGTTTAATGTCACTTACTAAACATACCCCTATATAAAAACTTTAATATGACAAAATTTATTCTATAAAAGTGACGTGCCAAATAGGGCCTTATGTATAGATTTGTATGTAGTTTTTTTTTTTTTTTTTAAGAGTACTGGTATATAAAGAGTGAATACACCCATTTCCATACTGCGCTGTAGCATATCATGAAAAAAAGGGAAAGAAAAAAAAACTAATCAGATATTGTAGTATGAGGTTTTCAATAAAAAAAAAAATTTTCCTCTAAAATGTTATTTATACAAGTTTAGTATATGGTTATTATAACAATAAGGCTTAGAGGTTAAGTGTGAATTGGGGTAGAGTAGGGTACAAATATCTGAGATTGTATTACAGTGTAGTCTAGCAGGTAATAATAATCAGGAAGAGAAGAAGAAAAAAAAGGAAAAAAAAATCTGTTGGTAAGGAAGGGAAGGCATGTATAAAAAGATATGCATTACTATGATTAACTTACTTATTCTTGAGAGAGAGGAAATTGTTTTTTGAGGTTTAAGGAAAGTTGTTACTTGTAGCTGATGGGTTGAGAGAAAGCTTGTATAGATTATCATACTCAGAAAGAATGTATAAAGATATCACCTTATAGGTAGGAGGAATATCATACATGGTTGAGTTGAACATACTTGAGCACGTAAAGTAGATCATGATATTGGTGAGTAAGTAGATGGGACTTGGAAGTTCAAAATGAATTATCTAACATGTTAGACACTAAATTTTAGTATTTTCTCCAGTTTATTACTAATATTATATTAAATAACGGGTATTAAAACTGTAAATTGAATGAATGAGAAATTGAGAATAGTACATAAACCAGGCAATCAGATATAGGCTGTTTCTTTATCAATCTTTATATATATGTCAAGATCATATACGGTATCTTATGCTTGTAAATCTAATAGGTATAGAGATAGTAATGGTTGGGAACCCAGATGAGACCTATGATACTTAGATATTGAAAGTATTTGTACTCTGCAGGGACTCCAGTCTTTAGTCTGTGAATAATTCAAAACATATATAAAGAAAACCAAGTCCAAAAGATGTCAATAGAGAGTGAACTATACTATGAGGAATGGAGCTAGTGGATTATATGAAACCTACAAATAAACCTTTTAACTGCTAGATGTGGACATTTTACCTTTAGTAGTTTAACAGCTATGATAGAAGAACTTTATATCACTCAAATGATTACATCGATAAAGGCTTCAAATGGAGAAAGGAAAAGAAGAATAAAAAATCTACAATGGTTATAGGAAAGTATGATATCCGTAAAGACGATCAGGTCAGAATTAACCTCCATACCATGTCAAGGTAGTCACAGAGCTCCACTAAGCTCATCCTGCATCTCACACTATAGCGAAGACTTTATATCGCGAGCTAGTCGGTAGAATATATGTGTATAAGTGATTGGGTAGAGAGGAGATAGATGGACAAGTAGGTGAAGTAGGTACAATTATCACACAACGTTATGTTACAGCTGTACCCTGTCGGCCCGCGAAGCAATTTTCCTGCACGTAGGTATTGTACAGTACTTGTATGTAGGTGGTAGAAGCCGGGGGAGTCATCGGAAGCTTGATGGGCATAGCGCCACACCGTATCATACTGTACCTGTATTGTATTCTCGCTGTAAGTTACTGAACTCTGCGACATTGCGGTTTGCACGGCACGCTAGCGTAAGTTACGGTAGAATTGCCCATCCGGGTGAGTAGCATGGGTAGGTTATTATCCCATCGCTAGTGAATTAGAAACCTCCATACGATGCGAAACCCCCGGTATATATTATATGTAAAAAAAAATATGTATATATATACCCTTTCTAACCTTACATCCAATCCCGAGCGAAAATGGACGGGAATGAGGGTAATAGGAAGAGAGAGAGGGGGAAGGGAGGAAAATACAATACTCGAGTACAATACCGGCAAAGTAGATCCCGGAGGCGATCGCATGTGGAATTTGCGGGTAAATAATTTAGTTGTTGTCTTGGTTACCGTGATTGATTGTCGCCGGTCCCGGGGTGGGTGGTGAGCTCACCCGGGGTTTTTCTTTTGTTTTGGGTTCGGTTTGGTTGGCAAGGGGGTGGGTTGCTGTTGTTGGTGATGTCAGTGATAGGTAGAGAGAGAGAGCAGAGGCAGGGTTAGAGAAGGTTGTTGGGACAGGGGGAATGAGTAGATTCTCGTTGTAACTGAGGTTCCCCCGAACATTAGCTTGCCAGTACGATAGAATACGAGTAGTACTTCAATCAAGCTTTATCCCCAATTCTTCCTCGATGCCTACCGGTGAGGTAATGTGCAATACCGGTACGATACCGTACGGGTACAGTACTGTACGAACGAGTACTCTGGCAAAATTATCCAAACGCATCATGACATAAACCATGCGCAGCCCGTCAACGAATCAACGATCCCCAAAAAAGCGCTCGTTTTGTTTCGATTTGTTTCGTTTCGCTTTCCGAGGCGCCGATGCAGTGCGGTACAGTACTATACACTCTCAGTCACGGTACGGTGGGGGGCATCGATTTCTCATACAAGAGAAAAAAACGATAAGGAAATTCCCGGCCAAGCCCGGGAATTACAGGGAAACAATCCCCTACCCTTCCCGAACTCACTCACTCATCCACTCACTCGCTCACGTTCATCCCATCGTTTTTGTTTTTGTTTTTTCTTTGTTGTCTCCCCGACAAACGCGAAACAAAATTTAAAACTAATCCCGGTACCGGTATTATCAGTGCTGTCGAGCAGAGAGTTTGGAACACTTTGTGTGGGAAATCGCCACCCCTAGGCGTCCGACTTCAACCCAAGTCGCGCGAGTACGTACAAAAGCGTGATTTTGCCCCGGTTGGTTGACTGGTAGTGCTGATGCGAGAAGAACGAGCCCGTGTTATGCATGCTACGAGTACTCGTAATGCTATGTTTTGTTCAAGTAATCGAATGTGCTATGCATGGTGCAAAGTATGCTACCGGTACGAGTAGGCTCTGCTGCCGGTAGCTATGCTATGCTTTTGGTATGGTACCAAACGAAAAGGCCGCAAAAGTGAGAGTCAGAGGGGAAAGTCAATCATTTATATTATTAAATAATGAAGGCAAAGCAAAGCATGATACCGGTATCTATGCCCTGCGTTTGGCAAGAGTGAGGAGTTAGAGCATGATACGGCACCCGTACCCTAGCTTACAGCCAACCAACCAATGAATTAACCAACACATTCACCATAAAGCGGGAGAAGGATAGAGAGAGCAGCCAGAGAGCCATGGACTTTGGTCACGAAAGGGTGACGCATGCATAGGGGGAGGCTGTTGTTGATTCTAGATTAGCATGGCCCATGTCCACTGGCATAAGCTACGACAGGTCAGTCTTCCAACAAGAGCTGTGTGTGGGTGGGTGGGTGTAGACAATGTGAGTGCGTGTGTCCTGCCTGTCCTGTTCTCGCACCGGCTGGCAACGTGAGATTACTCGTACAGTATCTGGCAGAAGAGAAAAGAAACAGGCCCAGCCCAACAAACCTGTTAACTCGTGCCTATCATACAATATTGGGATGTCATAACTCTTCCTTTTCATTTCATTCATTCATCAGGAAGTGTGTACGTAGAGTCCCATTGCCCGCCCTGCCCTGCCCCCTTCTATAACTTACTGTATCATACCCCCCCCCCCCAATAACCTCTTCATTCCCTATCATTTGGTACGGGTAGCTCTTTTTGGTTTCACCCTTCTCATTTTCCTTTTCTTGGTCCCCTTCTTTCTGTCCTTTTCTCTTCTTCTTCCTTTCCTTTCCCTTTCCTTTCCTTGTCACTTTGTTTTTTCTTGAGCATAACAACGTTGGAACTTTTTCTATCACTCTAGCCATTATCCTTTATTAAGGTGAGCACTTGTGTTCCTTTGTCCCCTTGTTACGGTTGATGTTTTTGGGCGTTGTCGGTCGGTTGTCGGTGGTTCTCTCTATTCTTCGAAGCTTCGCTTTGAGGGTTAGAGAGAAGAAAAATCAGGAACCTTTCTTTAGCCGTTTGATTTTCTTGCCCTGCTTAGCTCTGCTTGATCTGTTTTATTTGGTGCCAGTCTGGTTTACCATGGGTATGATGGTAGCAGCGCGTGTGAGCTACGCTACCTAAAATTACCTACACCTGCCATCTCTACCTCTCCTCCCTACCATGTGACTCACGAAGAGCAGAGCAAAGTAAAGGAACCCAAAGAAAGAGCTGGAAGAAGAGAAAGAGATGGGGGAAACCGAAAGAAATTTCACCATGCCACAGATCACTTGATAAAATGGGGAGAGAATCTAGCTGACTTACCCATTCACCAGAACTCCCAAATCCTTTCTTCTTCTCCAAGAAACTCTACCACCCAGCATGGCCACCATCACCACCACCACTGCAACCTCCATGTCCGTCGCAATCCCGACCTCCCGCCCCCACCGCGGCGGCAAAGCAACGGTGTCGGACAACAACGCGTTCACGCTCCCTGAGCCCTACTCCCACTTTCCCACGCCGCCGAACTCCATTTCACCGTCCCTGCCACCGGTGCCGAATCCCGTGACTGCATCCGCGGACTCGGACATTGACGTTCCCGACATTATTACCACGACTAGCACCACTCCTGTTCACCACCAGCTCAAGGCAGCACCTGGAACCTCGTTGCTTGCTGAAACAACGGGAGCAATCACTTCGTCTCTTCTAGCAAAATACCACCTCCCGGAGATCCTGCTCAAGCACGGCCCACTGGCCATCCGGCACTTAACAGCACATCTGATCTCCGCGATACCGGGTTTCTCTAGTATTCCGCCGGCAAAGCAGCGACGACTGGTGGTTGGTGCATTGGAAGGGCGTGGTGGAGTGAGCGGGAGCGAGGGCGAGGCCGGCGGTGTCAATGGTGACGTCGTGTTTGACAAAGTAGGCTGGGGACGCTGGGATGCGCGCGTAAAGTCCGATCCACCGAGGTCTCATCGGGGGATATCACCAGCAACTTCTGATCACTCCAGCTTCGTGAAGACGAAGGCCGGAATTGTGGGCAGGAGTTACACTGGCGAGTCGGGCATTTTCGTGCAATCGGAGGAGGAGGGGGATGAGTCTATGGATTCAGAGGGTGTGGAGGGAGAAGAGGAGGAGGAGGACGGGGTTGATAGAATGTCATTGGATGAATCCTCGTCTTCTGAAGACGAGGAGGACGAGGACGATGGAGACGTCACGGATGAGGAAGACTGGGCTCAAATGGGCGCGGCCATGCTCAGGAATCAAGTTGGGTCGCCGATTTCTCCCACTGGTGGCGGGTTCGATAACCTTTCAACGGCATGGGGAGCTTCGGTCAGGGCTAGGGAGGAACGGGAGGCTGTAGAAGCTCTTGTTAAACTCAGTTCTGTCTGACTCGTTTTGGTTCGACGTAGTTTGTTTCCTTTCCTTTGTTTCCTCCCTTTCTTTTCCTTTTTTATACTATCTATTCGGCGTACGGGTTTCTGTTCTGTTCGGAGAAATTAAATACACGGCTGTGGGGATTGGGTATTTTTATTATTTCCTCTTTTTGGCGGGAGGGGAACTGTTTTGGGCGTTTTTCTTATATCTCTCCTCTCCTCATCATCATTCTCATCATCTGCATAAACGTTTAACTACCCTTTCCCTTCTTCCACCGTTTTTGGTTGGTCTCTGTTTAATCATTGTCGCATTACATTTCTTTTCCATGTTCCTTTTCCACTCCCATTCCCTCCCCTTCTTCCATTCCATCCCATTCCAACTCTACCCTATCCTCACAAAGAGCAAACGAAACGAAGAAACAAAAAAAACAACAAAACAACAAAACATGGCCAAGAAGAGAAAAAAAAGGAGAAAAACAAAAACAAAAACTGTGGACTCATTCATTTGATCATCTACATATCATACCCCCCCCCCTTAGATGAACTCAGGTCTTAACTGATACTCGAGTTCCATCTATCCATCTACTTTTACTTACCCGTTCATGGACATCTCTTGACTGAGAATGGCCATGTATGATATGACGTGTATGTATGATACGCCGGGGTATTATTTTTTTACTCAGCCTAGCGTTGATCAGGGCAGGGCAGGATTTCTTCCTTCCTTTCTTTTCGTTTTTTTCATTTTTTTTGTTTACGATATTTCTTCATCAAAGAGTGGAAGAGGCAAGCAGATTGCCACCTATCAGTCACGAACGTGCTCAAGCACGCATAGTTAGGACAAACCAATAAATATGTGAATAATCAGACACGTTTTATTCCCCTCCTCCCCCGCTTCCTTGTTCTATTTAATTTTATTTTGTATGATACTGTACGAGTACTGTATGTACTCTTCTCGATCTATATCCGGGACTCGGGAATTATAACCCATCGTACTCGCTAACACTTACGATGAAAGGACAGCGGGAGCGGACCACGATGACCTTCTCCATCTGTTATTCGACTGCTCGTATAGTATTCTATCATACGCACAGTACAGTACAGTGCAATACCAATCGACAGAACAATTCGCCAACCGCGGTGAAGTAGACTAAGTCCACACTGCAATAACCGTAGTCCACCTACCCCATTCCCAGCACCTAATTACCTATCATACAAATAAATTTTACCCGTGCTCTCCTACCCGCGATACAAATAGGGTACTCGGCTCTCGCCATACCCACGTGTAATGGAACTTTACGCCGGATTGGACTTTTGGTATCGGTATCATACAGGGTACTCACAGACTGCTCGATTTTTACCTGTCTGCCTGGTCTGGATGTGTATTATGATAAGTTACTCGAGTGTGTGCTATTTTAATGGGTTCGGGAAAAGTATGAGCTAGGCAAAGCCCTAACCCTTGGTACAAATACTGTACGAATTCAATGTTAGTGTGTATGATATGAGATCTGGGGAATTGTTGTGGACATAGTATCGTGTTTGCACGCGCGCCTACGGTACCGCAGTCTACCGTGCTGTACTGTACTCGTACTTGGGTACCGACCGTGGTCCGGGGTTGAGATGTGTGAGAGAATTATTTACTTTTTGCGTACGATTTTTTATTGTGCGTCAGGCTGGGTAGGCTGCCTGGTGCTATGATACCAGTACAGTATCTTACGAGTATGGTACTTTTGCTCTCTAGTCGAGCGCGGTGCGGGTATGTAATGTATGTAATCTACGCATCATCTGAATTAAATCTACCTCGTACTAGTACTATACATCCAGAGCCGAGGAGACAGCCACAAACGGTTCTGCGAATGACTTTACGGAGTGATTGCCATTGTTTTGCTTGTACCGGTACGGTACCGTACAGTAAGCGCCTACCCCTCCCCTCCCCCCTCCCCCCACCCAGCCAGTACTCGTAGACCATGGAACCGTTAGAGTCCTTAAGTGCGGTATGGCGGAAGAGAGCCTATGGTGGCGTTAGGTAGCGTTGTGCGCACTATAGACACCTCTCAGTTGGTTCCGTTTTACCGGCATTTGATTTATATACTTGTGCGTATTGAGGGAGGGGGTTAAAAAAAAAGTGGTTGTAACTTACGGCCTTAAGAACATCGCTATGTTGACTAGCTTTCATGAACATTTCTCTGTATTGCTCGATGCTAGAGTTCACCACGTCCAGACGAGTCATTACTCCCTCGCAGATTTTTTTCATTTTTTCTTCCATCTATTTTTTTTTTTTGTTTTCAGATCAATTGGTCAGTCGATCGTTATCTCGGAAAGAGGTGAAGCGATAAGGTATGAATGGTGGATAGATAGGTAACAGGGAGAGATAGTTACCTCCTTCCTCAAAAACGGTTTGCTCAGTGACATGTCAAACCCAATATTATCGTAACCCTCGACTAGTGCGATGCCCAGGTTACTCGGGGAGAATTCTTGCATTCCTCCTCTTCCTCCTCCCCCACCCCTTCCACCGCGTCCCCTGCCACGGCCTCCCCGTGATCCTCGACCCCTACCCCTACCTTGGCCTGCACCCTCTTCCTCCTCTTCACCGCCGCCACTCCTGCCCATTGGACGGGCAAAAACGTACTTTCGCTCAATGATTTTGGCAATGTGTTCTGCCATCGTAGCGTCGGTCCCGATGCCGTTCGCGTCCATGAGAGCGATTAATTCCGGCTCGGTCAGGAATCCGGGGGGGCATGTCTTGCCCTCTGTCATCGTGGCTTCCGTGGGGTTGAAGATTTCCCCGGGGGTGAAGACGGGTAGTTCTTGGGATGATGTCCATTTGTCGTAGACGTAGACTTCTAGGTAGTTCCTTTCGAGCACTACCAGGCCCGTGGTGTGGAAACCTTCCTCGCCGTATTGGAGTTTTATCGTTGTGGTTTCTCCACGGGCGTCCTTGGAACAACAAGCTAGGAAGCGTCGAACGACGAATTCATATACTCGCTTTTCGTCTGCATTCAGCTTATCCGGGGCTACATAGGCTACTGGATGGATCGGAGGGTGGGCTTTATCGTTGTGCGTGCCGTTTTTGGGCTGGGAGAAGCCGCCCTCCATAAGGCTAATACATGTCAGTCAGAGCGAAATGGTGGGTACGATATATAATTACCCTTGAGCGAATTGGCCCCAGGCGTGGCTTTGAGTCTGCTTTCCTACAAGGGCCCGGAGATCCATGCCTCTATCGAATTGATCGGTTTCAGTTCTGGGATAGCTTATGAAGCCCTGAGTGTATAGTTTTTCCGCAATCTGCACCCATCAGCACGTCCGAAAAAATTGCAGTTAGAAAATACTTACATTCATGACCAACTGAGACGAAAGCCCGAGGAATCTACTCCCTTGTTTCTGTAGCTCTACTGTGGTTAGCGGTAGTGGTTTCCTGAGGATTGTCAGCACAAGCTAGTAAGTATGTAAGGTCATTTTTACCATTTACTGGTTGGTTTCTTAACGACAGAAACCACCTTTGCAACCTTCGCAGCCAAGCATTTCTCATACATGACCATTACGGCCATTCTGTCAAATAGTGAACCCCGGTCCCAACTGAAACCAACATTTATATCGTCCCTCTTGTGTATCACTCTAATCGACCAGAAAGGCTCTGGAACGAAGTTCTTGACTCTTTTATACCTATCGACCACAAATCCTAACGTCGGGAACTGGCAGGAGCCTGTGATGGATAATATCAGAAATGCACCCATGTATTCACAGACAACACAAACCATAACTAACAACCTGCTCATCCAACCCCCTCACAGTTTGTAAGAGCATCGTTTGCCACCTAGTAAAAGCCGCCCCGATCCTGAGGTCCAATTCAATCCTAGCACGAACCGCTGCCGCCTGGCGCTCATCAAGAACCCCTGGGTGCTGAGCAGCATGCAGGATATGTGCTCGTTCGATATTTGAAAATTTTGCTCGTTTAACTTCAACCCTGGGATTACTCTTCATTGCCAGATCCATCACTTCAGTGCCAATGTACTCCCCCTCGCGATCACAATCTGTCCAGATATATAGAATTTGGGCATTCCGTGCTTCGGAAGAGATATTTGCGGCTACCTCTTTGTTTTCCGGCTAAGCTTTATCATTAGTGCCCCATTCTCTTAGCAGCAGCTATTAGGGAGGGGTACCTACAGAAACAAACTGCTTAGTAGCAGCATCGAACAATGCCGACGGTTGACAGTCCTTCCACCTCCTGAACTCATCGGCAAAGTCCCAGGATACCGTATGCCCCACTACGGATGTCATAGTAACGCTACATTCCCCCCACGGTGGGGGGAACCGGTAATTAAAGTCATAATTTTTAATATACTTGTTGCCGGTATTTCGGGTCTATCGTATCTTCATGAGTATTGTAACACATTATTGGCGTCTTCGGGGTGAGGAGAGGGAGACGAACATTCCGGATGACACCCCCGCTCAAATGCCCGGCAACAGCCTTTGCGATCGAGGGTTTTTCCGCCACACAGAGGACCTTTTTCATAGCTAGAGCTCTAGTGGGTATCGCGTGTTCTGCGGAGGGGATGAGCGTGCACGGGCGCAGATAGGAGGTATTTGGCCGAGATCTGGGGAAGACGCGAGCTTGGGTTGAGGCTCCGCGGGAGATCCTTATTAGAGGCCTTTGGGGGGCTTAAACTTGTATCTCGTTCCACGGGTTCGCGAACATAACTCGGATGCCATGCCTGGATGTTTTTGATTAGGTTAGTGCTTAGATCCGGGGTTCGTGTTGTCGGGAGGCTTAACAGAGGGGGAGGGGCAAATTGCAGAGGGCATCGTACGAGTACGGTATCACAGCTGTATGATGTACAGTGGTAGGGATTTTCCGAAACGGGAGTGAGATCCCGTGAGATGCATATTCCCAGCACAATGAACCGAAGGGGGCACTTGTCCCCTAGGGGAAGCCATCGTCGACAGTGCGAGAGTATCACCGGCGATGGGGAAACGGAACTGAGTACCTGTCTGCTGCCCGTTGGATCATAGCAATAGAAGGGCTCGCCCATATCATATCATACCGGTACTGTACTCTTCTGCAGGTTCGCAAATCCAGCGCCGTTCACTGCAACCCTTCCCCATTATGGTGCCCGACCCCCTGTCTGTCTGGGCATCCCCGGTCACATCATAATTCTAGGGAGGTGATCTCATCCAAGAAAGCCTCCCTTGGGCCCTCGCCACCCGAGCGCTCCAGTGGCACACGCAAGACAGACGACGTAGTTCTTCATATCATACTATTACCGGCAATACCGGTATAATAGCCCATCCTCCCACAAGTACCGGTATTCCTCATCATCCTCTCGCTCCAATCTCACCTCCATCTCATCTTCATCCTCATCCTCACCTCCCAGCCACTGTTACCGCAGAATATGGCCATCTCCCTCCCCCTACCAGAAGTATCTTCCCTCTCAGACACAACAGATTTCAGTAAAACTGTGACCCCCTTCCTTCACCAACTCTCGATTTCCCACATTCAACCACTCCTCACTGGCCAAGTGCCCGTTAAAGAATGGTACCTATCGACCAACCCACTAATAACCGCCGCGCACTTTGCCCTTGCGATGACCTTGATTGTGCTCGTCACTAGTGAGATCAATAGGAATTACTCCCAGGTTGATCGTTTGTGGAGTTTGTTGCCGACAATTTACATTGGGCATTACACGCTCTTTGCTCACATGAACGGATTGGATACACGGAGGCTTAACACGCTGAGTGCTTTTTCGTTGCTTTGGAGTGTGAGTGTCAAGCTGTGGCAGCGATAGGAACGACCTGAGAGTGGAATGGTGCTAATCATGATTGTGGATGCAGATTAGGCTAACCTACAATTACTGGCGTAGGGGTGGGTACAATATTGGTTCGGAAGACTACCGCTGGTACACTCTCCTCCTATACCACTACCCCCCCCCCCCACCAAACTTTTAAGGCTAACAAGCTCTTGTGTCGTAGGGAGATTGTCCAAAAATCTATCCCCCGTTGGGGCTTCATCCTCCTGAACATAGTCTTCATCTCCTTCATCCAGAACGTCCTCCTAGCTATGATCACTGCTCCGGCCTACATCCACCTCCTAGCCTCCACCCTCCCCACCGCCCCCGCCTGGTCCTTCACCGACGTCTTACTCTCCCGTAGCCTCCTCCTGATCCTATTCGTAGAGGCCTTTGCAGACCAACAACAGTGGGTCTACCAGAGTGCTAAGACGGCCTACCTCGCCACCGGCATTGTACCGCGCGGCTACACCAAAGCCGACCTCGACCGTGGCTTCGTAATTACTGGTCTATGGTCATTCTGTCGCCACCCCAATTACACCGCTGAGCAGATTATCTGGGCGCTCGTGTACCAGTGGTCGTGCCTTGTTTGCGATGAGCTCTGGAATTGGACTGGCTTGGGCGCGGTGGCGTATATGGCATTGTTCCAGGCGAGCGTTCGGCTGACGGAGGAGATTACTGCGGGGAAGTATAGGGAATATAAGGAGTATCAGAAGATGGTCAATAAGTTTGTGCCCGGTTTGGGGGCGCTTACTGGGGCATCGGGGTTTGAGAAGAAGAAATAGGTGGTTCTTGCCTTCCTACTGCCTATTCCCTCTCGTCATGTAATATAGTTTCTTCTGTCACTTGGATTCACTAGGAGTAGCAGGATTTCAGATGCCATCCTTGTACTGGTAATTCTTTTTTTTTTTTTTTTTTTACCGTCCCCTTTACATCCCCCCGCTCTTTCACCGCACGATATATATCCCGAATAGCATTGCGCTATAACCCTGGTATAAGATTCATTGGTGAAATAGTGGTGGATTCGGCTCTCCCGGCCCCTCACCTTCGTTTCACCGCCATCAAACTAGCCAGTGAGTGATATACCGTGAACACATCATAGCCCCTCACTCGGAAAATCAAAACCAGCGATAAAAAAGAGAAAAACTCCAAACGCCCAATTCTTGCACTGAATAGGAGCCGCCGTATTTACATTTTATACTACACCCCTATCCACCTACTCCTCTCCCTCTTCCTCTCCATCGCCGTCATCGTCATCCCCATCATCCTCATCATCGCTTATTTCAACACCCAACTCTTTCAACCGTTTCTATGCGGGAAGCCCAATCATTAGCCGCTATATATCTCACAAACGGCGAATGGAAAAAATACCTTATCCCCCTCCCTCTTCTCCTCCAAATCTCCCAGCACGATAAACAAGTCATCCAGCTCGGCGGCGCTCTGCTTTGCCGCCTCGTCCGCTTCCTTGCGCGCATGCTCCGCATCGCTGAGCCGCGCATCAAGCTCCTTGACGCGGACTTCTAGGGCGGCGGCGGATTCCTGGGCTTCATGGAGGATGCGCACGTGCGTGGATTGTTCCTTTATTAGTGATGCTTCGAGGGCTCTGAGAGTTGTTTCTAGGTCTTTGATCTGTGCTTCGGAGGCGGCTTGTTGCTTCGTGCATTCTTCGAGACGGGATTGTGCAGCTGTTAGGGCTTCTTGGAGGATGGTGGCTTCGGATTTTTGGCGGCGGGAGCCTTCTTCTAGGCTGGCTATGCGCTCGTTTGCTGCTTTGAGGGCTTCTTCGGATGTTTTTAGGCGTTGGTCGGATTCTCTGGCGTGTTCTTCGGATTTGCGTAGGCTCTCGTGGGCGAATAGTGCTTCTTTCTCTGCGGAGTGTAGTCTTGAGGTTACTTCTTCGATGGCCTTCTCGCCCTCTGCCTTCGCCCTTTGTACTTCGCCTGCCCGCTCTGCCTTCTCTTTCTCAGTCGCGGCTTCCGATTCTGCCACCCTCCTGCGCAAGCCTGCAACCTCACTATCTCCATATTCTTTGGCTTTCCTTGCAGCTTCACTAGCTTCCCAGCGGGTCCTCTGAATCTGACCCTCCAACCCGTTTATTTCTGATCTCGCCTTCTGTGCGGTGGCCCGTAATTCTACGTCGTACTGTAGGCGGAGGGCTTCAGTTGCCGCGTTTGCTTTTTGCACCTCCGCTGCTGCGGCTTCTTTTGTACGTTGGGATTCGTGCTGTTCTTGGGTTATTTTCTGCTCCAGCGTTAAGCATGTTGTCTGTAGTTTTTGTAGTTCTTCGTCTTTATCTTCGAGTTGGGCTTTTAAGGAGTCCACGAGTTCGACAGAGATTCCATTGAGGGCGTGGGGGATGCCGTCTATTCGGTCAGAACCTGCACATACTTATAGTGCGGGGTTACTTACTGATAGTATTGTGCGTCTCCAGTCCAGGATCTTTGTCAATAGCTCTTAATACTCGGCTGTAATTGTCCTTCAAAAAGTCAATGAATGTGTGGTCAAAATACACTTCCGGCAAGCCTATTTTTCTCTTCCGGCGGTTGGTTTCCCGGAATACTTCAAAGTCCCGAACTTGTGGATTCTCTCGGAGCTTGGTGACTTTATTTACGTAGTGATCGCGCCCCATTCGACTCGCCAAGATTGGGTGTAGAGTAGCCCTAGGCACAATTAGCATCAGATATACTCGCCAAATGGTGGGCTTATATAGAACATACCTAGGGAGCGGCGAATCCTTGTGACTAAACTCATATAGTATCCCCAAGAAAAACGCGCAGAGCCCCTGGATCAGTACATTCGAGTTACTAGACTGCTTGACAGTAGACACAAGTGACTGCACACTTGAAGCTTCATTCAAGAAGTCATCCACGGCCGGCGAATCTTCGAACAGCCACGTGCATAGCAACATCAAATACCCAATGATAATCCGTGGATCATAGTTATGTTCCAACGCAGCGACGAGATTCGCGGATATACTCTGAATCACTGTGACAACCTCTTCGCCAGCATCCGCGTCTCCCTCTTTGAAAGATGTCGCCAGGTTCTTCGCCTCCTCATCGCTATATATCAGGTGCAAGAATATCACACTCGCCAGCCATACCCTATACGGATCGCCCCGGGAGTCTTGGTCAAGGTTAATCAAGCAGGTAAGCACATTCGCAGACTCATCCCCTTGTGCGTGCAGATTAATAGCATGGTTGAGGAAGTGCAATCGAACGGGTTGATTCCCAGCGAAGTACGACTCCAAGCACCGACACGCCGCCAACCTAGCATCAAAAGCATGAATCGAAGAATTCAACAATGCAAGGTCCAACAACCCCTCAATGACGTAACACAAATCATCGGGATTATTCTGTTGCGCCTGCACCTCCGGTAATATCGTAGGGTCTAGGTACTGGACCTTCATCTGAGCAAAGTTCTCCTGAAGCAGTGAGTTCTCATGAATGAGGTCCGCGACTGTCCTCAACGCCTGTTGCCCCATCAGTACGCCCCAAAACCAATGAGACAAGTGGGGAGAAAAACATACCTCCGCGCGAACCGGGAAATCACTAAACCCAGAAAATGCAATAACTAGCATAAGATGCAATATTCCCGCGCCGAAAAACGCATTCTGATTCGCCGCGGCGCCCAATCCGCCCGGCACCACAAACAACCTACACACTCTCATTGCATACTCAATATTCGTATCACTCTGTCCCTTGGCGTAGGACGGCACCGGCTCCTGCGCGAACTGGAAGAGCTTCGCTAACCGGGGAACGCATCCCGTTTCTCTAAAGTAGCTCTGGTTCGAAACGTTGAACGATAGTAGATTGTTTAGTAATTGAAGGCAATCCTGGACTATGATGCCTCCGTCGACGCCGCCTTCCAGCTCTATTATCGAGAACATCCGCTCAAAGGCGTTTTCGAAAGCGATTAGTTTCTGTATGTCCGTGTGGCCGTTCGAGAGGTTTATTATTAGGAGTATGCCCTCTGGAACGGAATTAGCGGCCTGCAAGATCAATGTATTGGAGGGAGTATCAACCATTACGAATAGCATCTCGCTTATCGTCAAGTGCAGAAACTAATCTCGAGATCCCAAGGGGAGCAGTGAGAATACACTCCTGTGTTCTGGACGGCCGATTATTCAATATCGCAACAAGCAACTGCAGCGCATAAAGCCTGATGTAAAAGTCGGAATCCTGGACCAGCTCAATAAGAACCGTGATGTTCTCTTGTTTCTACCCCCCCCTGGTTAACCCTCCTCCAAAAAACTGAGGAAAAAAGCCAACCTGAGTAAACTCATCCGTAAGCCATAGCGCAATATCCTCACTCGATTCCGACTACCCCCCCCCACACATTAGCCCAAGTCCCACACAGGAGGTATGATATATGATGGGGACAAACATTCGACTCATCCTTAACAAATAACAGCAACAACGTCTCAAGCACAACCTTGATGGTATCTACATCCTCCGAATCTTTCGATAGTGTACTAATGAGCCCCCGTAAACCCCCGGATGCTACTGTTTCCTTGTACTCCCGAGCGAAGCTCCTCAGGCCCATTATCGCGGCGCGCCGATCCTCGAGGAGCGTGCTTGTAGACAAGCGCAGGCATAGTGTTTGGATGGTCGATGTGGCGTCTTGCTTTGGGGGAGCTTGGGCTTGGAGGATGCCGAGGAGTGACATTGAGTGAGTGGGGCAATTGTCGTGGTGAATTGTCTTTTTGTGGGATTGAAAGTTATGTTAGCATGCGGGACATCGATTGCCTTGAGTTGTTTTGCTTCGCAGGGGAAGGGGGAGAGGAAAGTTAGATACGGTGATGGTGGCGGTGGTTTAGTAGGGATGAGTTTATAATTATTCGACGTGGAGGTTGCTGTCGTGTCTCAAATTATGAAGTTTGGTACAGTTGTCGTTGCTGCGGCGGTGGCTGCTCTAAGGGTCACAATATTCTATTCCCTGTTTCAAGAGTCATGACAGCAAGCAATCCCCTCCTTAAATATCACTAAGAACTTCGAAACATACAAGGGAAACATGCACCGGAATACTGCTTTTCCCCATTGCTCCATTGCAATCCCGTCTTCTCTTACAAGAAAGCGCGAACTTTACCAACTATCTTATTTCTTTCCAACATCTCATCTAGAGTATGCCCTTCCCCCAATTACCCTCCATTTCACAAACAAGCATCCTCCACCAAACACTGGCAAAATACCAGGCCACGCTTATAGCACTACTAAGAAAGAACGAAATCACCTTAGTTCGAAGCGAATCTGTGAGAAAATACAATTTTACTAATTGAAACCCCTGGGCGGCGAAAGTAAGAGTCAAGGAATAGAATAGTCGGAGAAAGGAATCACTAGGAAAAGGGAAGAAAAAGAAAAGTGAAAGTAAGAATGTATCCGTTGAAAACGATGTTACTCCACGCAATGGTAAGCCTGCCGTGGATCTTTTTTTATCCCCCCTCAGCCATCGCTTAAGCCCAAGCCCACATTGTAAACATCCCATCTAGAATGTCTCCAGGTCGTCGCCCTCCTCAGCCGGTATTTCGAATCCATCCTTCTCGATGTCAGCGTACTCTTGAATCGTTCCATGGTCGTCGGGGGTTGTCACCTCTGTGGAGTACAAGATCGCCTGGATATGCTTGACCAGGCCGTCCTCATCCTCTTCAATCTTGGGATCCTGCTCGACAGCCTGCTGAATTAACAATTCAATATCCCTCAACTTGCTAAAGTAGAAGTCCCTCTCGCGCTCGAGCCCGGTAACATTCTCCTTCAACATGCTATTTTCCTGCTGGAGCGCGGCAGTGCTAGCACCACCGAGGGGAGTTCTGGTTCGGGCACCGCCAACCGTCGGGGTAGTTCCACGTTTCGCTGCGGCAGAAGAGGTATTGGCGCGGGCGGCGGGAGGATGATTGCCGCCGACCGAGCCCGCACCTTTTCTGCGGGAGAGCGCATCGTAATCGCCGCCAGGATAGTACTGATCCCAATACTTCTTCGTCCATTGCAGAAACTCAAGATTGTCCTGGAACTTGCATTTGACTAGACGCTCGACGGGAATAGGTCTATCAATTCCTTTTGAAGAAAAGACGGCTGAACAGCAATACAGCACCCCCGAAAAAGAAAATTCCCGGGGAAGCAAACCCAAATGTAAGCGAATTTTTCACCAAACTAAACGGTAAGAAATAAGTAGAAAAGAACACGGAGAGACTAAGTGAAACCGTACAGGTAAGAATTTTAAAGTTCTGAAGATAGGCGTATTCGGTATTGACGTTGAACTTGACTTTCTGCATGGGAACATCGCCTGAATATAGGAAGTAAGCTAGAGTTCCAAGCTTTTCACACACTCTCTTCTCCCCGTCAAACAGAGGAGGGGGGGAGTATAGGACTCGCTACTGACCAAAAATAGAGTCAAAAACCTGGCATAGCGCGGCACTGTTTAGGAATCATCGCTGTCAGTCGAAACAGTTTCCCGAAGCAAGGAACAAGCTTCCTTTCCACAGAAAAGGGGGGGAGGTGAAGGAACAGGTGTTGCTCGTCGGTGACATACCCGGTTCCACATTGCTCTATACGTGTAATGTTAAGCTGCAGGAGGCCGTTTAACCAGTTGAGAAGTTCTTGCCTAGATCGACGTTAGCACAGTGATTGAGGCAATGGTGGAAGTTTGGTCAGTATGGATATTTTTTTTCTTTCTCCTCACTCCCGGGGGCATCCTTTACCTTGATTCGCCCATGTTGTATAGAAAAAAGTCAAGAAGTGAGGAAAGGTAAGGTATAGGTGTTCGTTGGGAAGATTGAGGAAGAATTATTTTTCTTAACGATGGTCCTGTGAGGAAGCGAGAGCGAGCGCAGAAAAATGTTCGGGAGAAGGCAATGGTTGTGTTGCGAAGTGAGAGCTGCAAGAGGGGTTCGTTGATGATGGACTGAAAAAGAAAGCTTGTGCAAAGACCTTGCGTTTGTGTTGCCCCCTCCACTGATTTCACGTTGTTTATCGCTCGCCAAGACGATGGGTGGTTGCTCAGTAGAGCGAACCCCACCACGACGAAAGCCGCACCTGTCGGGTCTGCTTAATTGAGATGGGAGTACCCGTACGAGTACTCGAGTACAGTACAAAACCTGTCATTCTACCCCCCTTACAGAGCCATCTGTAATAAGTTTTCAGCATAAATCGCAGCTTTTTTTAATTCCGAAGCAAACGACCAATTCATGATGGTATCCGCCAAATTATATATCATGGACCTCAACGAGCACAGCTTATCATTTTTTAACCTTCTCCATCAATTTAATACATCAAAATCCACTTCCTTGTGTCCTTGAAGGGCTCGCCTCCTCTATCCTGTCTTTACTACGGTATCGTTATCGATAAATTATCATGTCAAGCCTCGGGTGACCTCCTACCCAACTTGACAGCAGTGCCCCTTCTCAAGAACGCTCTCGTCACTATCCGAGAGTGTATCACTACTAGCCTAAGCGGGTGTACTATTGCCACTAGGCTCAGGTGCGCCACCATAATTACCACCACTAACAGACTCAAGGGTAAACGGAGAAGCTGTGGGTGCATCCAGAACCCCAAGTTCTTCGGGGGTGAAATACTTGGGCAAGATTAGGGTGCGGGCAGGAATTAGCAGGAGAATGAACACCGGGAAGCTGCATACATCAATCGGTTAACATGAAGTTCTGAACATAAGCGGTTATTGGGAGATGAACATACCCAATAGCAGCAATAGTTTGGGTGATAGCAAACGTAGCTCCGAATCCTATGAGCTCAAGTGCCACAAACGCCCAGACAGCTCCCTTCCTACATCTCTTCAGCGGCTCCTCGCCAAAAGCCAAGGAGCTATCGCTGAGCAGGAATAGAAGCTTCAACACGATCCCGTTGCTTTCGAGTGCTTGAAGGCCCATGACGAAGAAGAGTCCGGCAAGAACCTATATCAACCGATGAGCAGATGTTTTACAGAGATGTTATATAAGTTCAACCTACACCCTGTGGAATCAGCGCAAGCACCACAAGCAAGGGCCCCGTCATGGTTCCTAAGATCAAAAGGCCCTGTGCAAGATTGCTAGCCCGCTGTTCCACAACGTGATCAACAACGACCTCCACCTTGCCTTTATTCTCCTCCGCCCCATCCGTTCGCCGGCGAGTGACGCACAGAGATGCCGTATGGAACGGAGCTTGAGGGATAAGACCACTTGACTACTTATTAGCACGCTCTTGCTTACTAATATCAGAATTAGAAACAGCATACTTAGGAGCTGGGATCCCCAGAACCCCCGAAATCCCCGTCGTAATCCCGAGCAAGAAAATGTCCCAATGAAACCCCGCCGGCTTCTTCAACGGAAACTCCGTGCCCTGGGAAATCAGGCTCGAGACATTGTGATCAAAATAGAACCTGTACCCTCACCATCAGCCCGGCCGAGCCATACACCCATAAACACATCCAATCACTCACAAAATCGTCAATAGCAGCGCAAACGGGATAGCCAAAAACACTTGCCCAACACTGATATCCCAGAAATGCACCAGCCACCCACGCTCCGTAGTGGGGAAGAAGGCCTGTGAAACTGGCAATCTTTCGAGGTCCATATGCTTAATTTTACCGAAGTACTGGTAACCTGTGAAGAACACGATTGAAAGTGGGGTTCCATAGTCCTTTAGGAAGACCCTGACCGGTTGCCTAAAGAGGTTGCTACTGCCGAGCCAGGAGCAAGCATACCCAGACATTAGGACTAGCAATGAGATCGAAATCGACAGATGCGCCGCTGCATCTCCTGCGCGCCATTGCAGAGCAAGGACCTGAATGCCTTTCTGCAGGTATATGAAAGCGACATAGAACCCAAAAATATCACAGGAAAACCTCGTAACCCATTTAACAGCATTGCAAGCATTCGTTATGGCTAGTGCAAAATGCATGAGCATAGACCATAGACAAATCCAGCACATGAACTGGAAATACGGAATCCCTCTAGGTGCTACGATAGCGTATACAGTACTGCGAAATGGTCGCACCGACTCCCATCAGTCAATTCTTGGGTAGAATGGAGCTAGGGGAAACTTACTAATTAAACACAGTGATAGGCCCTGTAACGCCAACAATACATAACGGCTGCGCAGCCAGGAAACTAAAGACTACCGCACCGAGTACAGATGCGAGCAGAACTTCATTGACGCCATAAGACATCTTTGTTTTTTCAAACCTACACCACCAACCTGTTAAGTACCTCCTCCCACATCGCAACCCACCCACTAAAAGAACGAGCAACCTACATATCTAAAGAAAACGCCAAGGCCGGAAGCACACTTTCTCGAAAAATCAGTCACTCATTCCAAAACCCACTGATGGGAGTAGCAGAAAAGGGGGCGGGGGCGGGGAAAAGCGAAGAAAAAGGTCAAGAATACTTCGCAAAAAACATATAAACTACCATTTCATCAATCAGTCACCCACCCACTCACTCACATGCCAACCCTCAGCCATATTAAGCACCAGGCGAAACTGTACGGAGGAAAGAAGACAAGACAAACCAGTACTAGGCACAATCCTATAATCCCAAGCATCCGTCCAATCCGACTTATAATAAGGCAATCGCCTACGCACGTCGTTTACCATGCCACGGAAGAGGCTAATGCGCCACCATGGCCGCTTGCGCGCTGTCGTGCCGGTAGGCACGGTGACGGAGGATGAAGGGGTGCCAGTGCGCTTGTTTCGCAAGGCCGATAGACTCACGGGATGGGTTGTCATTGGGGCTTTGAGTACGTACTGTGCTGTAGCGATGGAGGGGTTGTTGCAAGTATGAGGGAGAGGGGGAGAGGGAGAATGGGGGAGAGGGAGGAAGGACTAGGGAAGGAAGGAAGACAAGTAGGTAATGAACGAAGGGATTAGACCGGGAGCCGGCCTCGTTACCGGGACCGATATTGGCGTTTGAGCCCCACCGTCAGCCGGGAGGTGCCCTCGAGCGTCAATCCCGGTACCGCTTTTGGTTCCGTTGCTCTTATAGGCCGTGATCGTACCTAAATCGGACTTCACTGTCGTTGATGTACAGGGGGTGGAAAAAAGTAATGCGACACTCGTACAACACAAATCTCTGTACATCAACATTCTCGACAATGTATAGACTACCTCATTCCACAACAACATTTAATAAATAAAATAAGTAAAGGAGATAAAATAAAATAGTCTTCAGTATTCCCTTGAAGTAAAATAAAAAGAAAACCCTAAATCAATAATGAGTTTGGTGCCCTTTTCTTCTGATAACCTCTCTGATCCTTTTTGGCATACTCCTACCAAGACCCATAAACCTTCCATTAGGAATAGCTTCCGAAGCTTCCTCCACAGCTCTGATTAGCTCTTCTCTACTTGCAACTCTTCCATACCTTTTCCCCAAGTAAGTCTCCATATCTCCCCAGATATTTTCAATCAAGTTCAGATCTGGAGACTATGTTGACTAAGGCAATATATCTACCTCATTTTTCTTTCTACATTTTGTAGAAAATCTGTAATTAAATTAGTAGTTAGATTATATTCTTAAGTAAGTATTTCTATAATAATAAGACAGAAAATAAAATAATTATAAGATATATGAAAGAAGATAGAACTTACTTTTGATACCCTGGTACACCATCTTTAACAACCTTTGTCCAACCAAATCTCTCACAACACTCATGCCAGAAAGGAATTAAAACTGGATCCAGTATACACTTAGTATACTCACAAGAATCTACTTTAACCTTTCCTGGCACTACTACTAACTTTGACCTCAAATTTCCACAAAAGGCTCTCCATACCGTAAAAGTATCTCTTCCTGACTCCCAGACTTCATTCAGACAATCCTGATTATACTCCTCAGAAGGCTCTCTTATCACCTATCCTCTCTCTCTAAATCCAGCTGTAGAGAAAGAAGTTTCATCTGTCCATATGATTCTAGACCACTCTCTCAATTTCCAAGCTTTTTTTCTCATACACTAACTAAATCTAATTGGTATATTTTTAGGGTGCAAACCCTATCTAAAAAATAATTTAGCTTCGTAAAAACATAAATTTTTATTAGAAAACTTACTTCTTGCAAGGTTTTCTTTTATTTAAATTAATACTCTTAGCTGCCTTCCTGATTATCCTAGATGAGGCCTTCAATCCTTTTACTTCTTTAATATCTTCTCAAGATAGTCTTCTATTTCTTTTATTTTCTTTAACAAAAGACTTCAGATTATCTAGATCAGACTCTTAGAAAATTGGAGGTCTTCCTGTTCACTAGTAGTTGGAAGGACTACCTGTTTCCTGGTAGCTGTAATAGATATGAGTACAAGTACTATGATCTACTTTAAGGCCAGTTTTTTCCTCTAATTTAGCAGCTATATTTCTGAAAGACCATTCTGCTATTTCTTGTAGAGCAATAATTTGGACTCAGTCATTTCAGGTAGTTTCTTGCTCGAAGCATTGCTTCTTCTTCGTCAATGATCACCGTTGCTCAATGTTTTCTGGATTGATCGCTATTGTATTTTATCTTCTTATTATCTCAACTATCTGTATATATTTATTTAATTAAATTACTTACATTCACTGCGGTGAATTCTTTTTACCAACATATTAATTCTTGAAGAAGGTTTGGAGGACTGTGAAGGATAGAGTTGATATCATAAGAAAAGGGTTAGAAGCGGAGATGCAATCATATAGGATACCATTGTAATGGTATTGCACTACTTCCTTCCACATCCTTGTACAGTCCTGTCTGAAAAGTCTTCGCATTCCTGGATTGCAACCACACAACCCCTCATCACCATAACAACTACCTCAACCATGACCCTACCACATACACTTAGAGTTAAAAAATACTTGAATAAGGAAATTTATATCCTGTATAAATATACTAATATAGGATATAATAAAATTTCTAAGTCTTTAGGTATTTCCAAGTCCACTGTTCATTATGTAGTCAAAAGAGTAAAATCTAAGAGTGGAAACACTCATGATGCAAAAAGAGGTGGAAGACCAACTATGATTACCGATGTCAAAAGAAAGATAGTGGAGTCAGTTATTGATATCAAGCCTCATTTAGTGTTATGTGACATTATCAAAAAAGTGAATATTAGTCTAAACAATATCACTATTGAAAAGATTATTTTGGAAGCTAGTTTTAAGCTTCTGATACCCAGAAAAAAGCCTTTTTAGAGAAAAGGACAAAAGGAGAAGAGAAAGGAGTTTTCTAAGGGAAGGAAGAACTAGAAGAGGGTATGGAATTGGGTTGTTTTTATAGATAAAGTCATAATTGTTTATAATTTAAATCTTATTGACAAGAAGATCAGAGTTAGACCTAGTGAACAGTTGGAAGAAAAAAACTTGAAGTCTAGCATTAAGTATGGAAGGACTAGTATTGGGGTCTATGGTACAATCATAAAGGATAATAGAACTGAGTTAATTCTTGTGAGGAAGAGGAGAGAGGAGGAAAGAACCAGTAAAAGAGACAAACTTGGCCTCAATTCCTACCAATATGCAACTGAAATCTACCAGGCATATCTTATCCCTTTTATAGAAGGACTGGATAGGCTCCCTAATAACATCTACCTAGTTGCAGACAATGGCTCCTGGTATTGTAGTGAGGAAAATTGAAAATTGGAGGCAGAGTGTGATTACAAAAAACTCTCTTGACCACCCAACTCACCGGATCTCAACCATACTAAGAACACCTGGATACTATGTAAAAGAGCCCATACCAAGTGATTCTCAAAACTAGAGAGAAGGCCTCACAGTAATGCTGAATTGTTTGAGGCAGCAAAGAAGGAGTGGGGATTAATTCCTTAAGAGAAATTGGATAGATGGATAGAAAAAATGTCTGAGAGAATATTGGCTGTACTAGATACAGATAGAGGACATACAAAATGTTGATAATGTTTTTCTCTTATCTACTAGCTATACTATTATTTTTTCTTTAATTGAATTTTCTACTTTGTTTTTTAAATTTTTTGTAGTTTGGTGTCATGGTAGTGCCATTGTAGGACAGGGATGTAATGACTTTTTGGATACGACTGTACCGTATTTACTCACTAAATCCACTATTGGGAATTGGGTTTTGGATTGTACAAGATGGGGATTTGTGTAATATGCTCAGAGATTGAGTGATTGGATATGATGCTGAAATTAAACAAATCGCATGGACTATATCAAGCAAGAGTCAAAAGAGTCACCACAATAACGTAAACTTGCTGATTTAGTTAGAATTAAAAAATGTTTGACGATACTTCTCATGACTAATAAGTCATAGGTAAGGTAAAATAATACTTATGATATTGCAAGCATGATTCATTGAAGTTAAAGAGAGCAAGAAAGAGGTATCTGAATATAAGAATGGGAGACTATAGAGAAGTACAAGCTATACACAGATAGCTAATTCCAGTTTTAAAGTTTAATACTTCGTATTTATTTTATAAGCATAGAATAAAAGAAGTTAGTATAAAGTGGGTAGAAGTGGAGGGGAATTTGGAAGTAGTATAAGAGTATAGAAGAATGAAAAGAAAGAATAGTATATCAAGTTATCCATACTTGCAAAAATGGCCCCAATTTGAGTATTAAAAATCCATTGAGAACCTAAGCCGAAACCTATTCGTGAATGCCAATTAAGTCAGGAAGAATTAAAGCCAATTATCTATCCTGAAAGAATCTATAGTCAAAATCAAAAGCTTCATGTTCTTACTATTCTCAAGAGCCAAGATATTCCACTTCTAAGAAAGAAAGAGTACTGGCGACCGACACAATAAAAAGTCTTATATATGTATTGAATATCTCAGTATACTATTAGTGATTGGGTACGAAAGAAGGAAAGGATAGAAAGAGTGGGAAAGGACTCACCAATCAAGAAGGAGGAGTTGGTTGAGTATAGTAGATAAGTCTTATGGGCAGAGTTAGAAGATAGGTTATATGAAGAATTTGTAAAAAGAAGTGAAGCAGGAAGAATAGTACGACAAGGATGGTTTTGTAGCAGTCACAGTTTCAATTCCATATACTATACCCAGATTCCAATCCTACAAGGTTTTATTTCAGCAATGGGTGGTTTCAAGGATTTCTAAGTTGACTTCAGATTTGTAATAGTGGCTCCCTCTGGGAAGATAGATCCTGAAGTTGTGACTGCACTGAGATGCGAATGCGAACAAATATAATAAATTTCAAAGTCTCAGCAGTAGAGTTCGAAGAAACAAAAGAGTAAAACTTTATATTGTTAAGCCACAGCTTTACTCAATTAAGTCCTGATTTTGAGAGGTAGTTGATTGCTAGAGTAGAGAAAAACTTGCATATATTTAAGTAGATTTCATATACCGCCAGTTGCTCTCCATCACTACTTTGCATTCGTGAGCACTAAACTCCCTTGTGCAGTCAAGCCAACCTCTATAGATCGGACCAGAGATCTTTCTTACCAAACTAGACTGCTCTGTAGTTTGCTAACATCTACCTGACAGAAGTGTTTTAGCCACTGCATCTACAATGCAACTGCAGGAGTAAAAACTCTTCTTATCATTGACATATCAGTAGCGAGCTGATATGCTCAAGTGGATGCAATATCAACTATGGAACTTTCTACGTATATATACTTAGTCTTCTACAAGTATCCGCAGTCCCTCAAC